TTGTCCTCGGTTAGCTGTAGCTGCACCATGTCATGCCTAATCACCTCACCCCCAACTCTTCTTCGGCCTACCTTTACCTCTCCTAAGGTCCTCCAATGTCAACCTCTCACACCTCCTCACCGAGGCGTCTGTGCTCTTCCTCTTCACATGACCAAACCACCTAAGTTGCGCTTCTCGCATCTTGTCCTCAATAGGGGTCACACCCACCTTGTCGAGAATAACCTCATTTTTTATCCTATCTAACCTGGTATGCCCGCACATCTATCTCAACATCCTCATCTCTGCTACCTTCATCTTCTGGACGTGAGAGCTCTTGACTGGCCAACACTCAGCCCCATACAACATAGCCGTTCTAGCCACAGCTCTATAAAACATACCTTTAAGTTTTGGTAGTACCTTCTTGTCACACAAAACGCCAGAAGCAAGTCTCTATTTCATCCATCCCGCCTCAATACGATGTGTGACATCTTCATCAATCTCCCCATCCCCCTATATAATAGAACCAAGGTACTTAAAAATACCCCTCCTAGGGATGACTTGTGAATCCAACCTCACCTCCCCTTCCACTCCCTAAGTAGCACCACTAAACGTACACTCTATGTATTCTGTCTTGGTTATGCTCAGCTTGAAAACCTTTAGACTCCAGGGTCTGTCTCCACAGGTCTAACCTCGCGTTAACACCGTCTCGCGTCTCGTCAATGAAAAATATGTCGTCTATAAATAACATGCACCACGACACCTCTCCTTAGATGTGGCGAGTCAGTACATCCATCGTCAAGGCAAACAAAAAAGGGCTGAGTACCGACCCCTGATGCAACCCCATCATGACCAGAAAATGGTCCGAGACCCCTCCCACTATCCTCACACAGGTCTTCTCCCCCTCATACATGTCTTTAATCACCCTAATGTAGGCCACAAGTATCCCTCTAGCCTCCAAACATCTCCACAGAACCTCCCTTGGGACTTTATCGTAAGCCTTTTCTAAATCGATGAACACCATATGCAAGTCCCTCTTCCTCTCCCTATATTGTTCCATCAATCTCCTAACAAGGTGAATGGCTTCCGTAGTTGAATGCCCTGGCATAAACCCAAACTGGTTCTTGGAAATAGATACGCTTCTCCTCACCCTTAGCTCCACCACCCTCTCCCACACCTTCATAGTGTGACTAAGCAGCTTAATACCCCTATAGTTGTTGCAATTTTTGATATCACCCTTATTCTTGTACACATGAACCTCTATGCTCCATCTCCACTCTTCGGGCATCTTTTTCGTCCTAAAAATGACATTAAATAACCTAGTAAGCCACTCCAAGCCCGCCCTGCCCACACTCTTCCAAAACTCCACCGGGATTGTATCTTGCCCGATCGCTCTGTCCCTGATCATCGTACGCATAGCCCCCACAACCTCCTCAAATCTAATCCGGCTGCACTACCCAAAGTCGCAACGACTCTCGGACGATCCCAAATCACCAGAACAATGTCTCTGTTCCCATCCTCGTTCAAGAGACTATGGAAGTATGTCTTTTTCGTCCTTGATGCACTTCGCTTGGTCCAAGTCATGGGCCTTTCTCTCTCTCACTTTGGATAGCCTAAACAGCCTCTTATCCCCGCCTTTACCGTCAAGTTCTTCGTATAAACGACTAAATGATGCAGTCTTAGCCGCCGTAACTACTAATATCGCCTCCTTCCTATCCAACTTATATTGTTCCCTATTCGACCTCTTCTCCTCCTCGTCAATGCTTTTCACTAGCTTCAGATATGACACTTTCTTGATGTTCACCTTTCTTTGGACCTCTCCATTCCACCACCAGTCTCCGTTGCAACCACCATTGTAACCCTTCGAGACCCCTAAGACCTCACTGGAAGCTTGCTTAATGCACTGCGCCGTCGTGGTCCACATCAAGCTCGCATCCCCACTATTCCTCCAAGCTCCCATAGTCAACAACTTAACCCCAACTCCTGCGCTTTTTCTTCATTCAAGGCTCCCCACTTGATCCTAGGTTGGCCATACACCGCCCTCTTCATCTTCTTTCTAGTGATCTCAAGGTCCATGACCAGGAGCCTAAGGGTCATAAGGTTCTCACTCGCGATGACATTGCAGTCCGTGCAAAGATCTTAAATGGACCTCCTGCAGAGAAGATAATCAATCTAGGTCCTGGCCACTGAGTTCCGGAATGTGACCAAGTGTTCCATCTTCTTCGGAAAATTCGATTTTGCTATCACTAAATCAAATGCTCTAGCAAAATCCAACAGTGAAGTTCCCTATCCATTTCTATCTCCAAAACTGAAACCACCATGTACATCATCATAGCCCCCAGACGTCGCTCCAATGTGGCCGTTGAAATCACCTCCAATAAAAAGCTTGTCAGTGTGCGGTATACCGCGCATCATCTCATCCAAATCTCCCAAAACGGCCTCTTGACTTCCTCATCCAAGCCTGCCTAGGGTGCGTACGCATTGATCATGTTAATACTCATCAACCTGTCGCTCACTTTCCTAACCTCTACCACTAAATCCCGGAGGTTCTTATCAACCAAAATACCAACCCCGTTCCTGCCCCCTTGCTCCCAGAAAACCATAGTTTAAACCCGTCCGCATCCCATGCCCTATCACCTACCTATATAGTCTCATGTACACAAGCTATATTAATCTTCCTCTTCCAGAGAATCTTCGCTAACTTTATAGACTTCTCAGTTAAAGTTCCTATGTTCCAAGACCAAATCTCAACCTGGTGGTTCCCTTAGCCCTCTTGCCCCTCTTGCCCCCCTTACGCCCCGCACCCAATCCCCGCAGTGAC